AGAGTTAATCCAGTATGCATTATCCGCGTGCAATCTGGGACCATATTTCACCAACAATCGACAATCATTTTACCACATAATTTATCGATAAGCAATAATTTCGAAACTCTTGATCCTTCACGACTTGTGGAAGTATCACATGACAAAATACCTACGCAAAGAAAAATTACTTTCCCAGAAAATAAAAATGATGACCTTTTTGATATCACTACGGACATTTTTTGTGAAATCGATTCAGCTCTGTCTTACAGGCAACACACAAATAGTTTTGATGTCTAAGTTCAGATTTTCACGTGAAAAAATTTGTTTCTTTTTTATTTTATACATATAAATTTTTTTTAGAAAAATTTCTCTTATCGTTTACCTTCTTACGCTTTCTCCTTAACGCTCGTACGTACGTATATACGTACGTATGTAATTAATGTAAATAATGCACATAATAATAATTTTGGCAAAATCGATTTATTTCTATTTTGAAGGTTTTTTTCTTATATGTTGTGAAACAGACTTAATTAATATTCTAAATAAAAACTTGTGATATGTACTTTGGCAACAATGAAAACTTTAATGATAAATTTTGTTGTGTAATAAAAAAGTATCTTAAAAAGTATCTTCGGAATCTTATTACTAAGAAATGAATTGTACGGTCACCTCGGAAAAATATTGACGATTTTTTATACGAGAGGACTGTACTTACTATTTGCTAATAAATATAATTTGAATTGCCTTGTATATATATATTAATAATTATTGTTTCCGAAAGATCATGTGACCAAAAAACTCTTGCCTATAATTTACAGTACAATATAAAACTGTAAATTAGTCTTGAAATTAAATACCCCATAATGAAACAAGATTTTCAAGTAAACGTCTTTTTGGGAAAAAATCGAATTGAAGAAATATCCTATTTGGGAAACATCATGTAGGGGAAACAATATGTACGTCTTGTCAAGGAAATCGGGTCGGGAAATGGGACGCAACCATGCTATATAGGCATGACTGCTATAAATAACGCTTATCATTATATTTATATATATTTATATATATATATATATATATTTTATATATATATATATATATATATATATATATATATATATATATATATATATATGTATGTATGTATGTATGTATGTATGTATATGTTAAAATATAGATTGATTAACATACAGGTTGTTTATTTATATATATATATTATGCTAATATTCGTCTCTTACAGAGAAGACCTTTCAGGTATCGTACAAACATATATAAACGGCACAGCATTCGTGAGCATTGACTGCATAACTGCCATAAATGTTACAAATGCGAGTCGGGAATGTTATGTTAGATACCTATTGTATGTGACGGATTAAAAATTAAATCGATTAAAATGAAATATTGTACAATGCAAAAATAAGACAAGCCACCGAAAAATAAAAATTTCTGAGGTGCATTTTTTAGGGTTAGGGTTAGAGGTTAGTTTTAGGATAGAATTTATAATAAACAAGTATAAGTGGTTTTAGAAGATTAAATAGAAACCCTCATTTCATTTTAATCCGATTTCGCGACAATTATTACATACTCTTTGATGCACAACGCTCAATATATCACGTGATACTTCCCCGTGTCTTGCTGTCACGATACCTTCGTATCGTGCATGCGACTTAATAAGCATATTTAAAAATAAGTCTTATAATCTTAAACATGAAATAATTATACGTACGTATAAGTCTTATGATAATATAAAACTTAATAGTTTAATAATGTTTTAGGTTTTTATAAAAAAGCTTGCCATTTAAAAAGTGCTTTAAAATTAATTACAATAGAATTATAGTAACTTTAATTGCATTTCCTTAAAAATTTCAGCATTTTGATTGCAGATCTTGCTTTTAAATATGTTGAAAATAAATTAAAAGATGGCATTTTGAATAATAGTTTATTACTTAAAACAACGATTTAAAATTAAAAAAAAAAATTAAAATGTTAATATCTCAATTAAGTTACATTTAAAGTATGGTTATAAGCTTATTTACCGCAGCGGACAATCATTTAACCGACAGGTTACTTCGCCGACATCACCCAAAGTGATAATTTAAGCATTATTAGTTTTAGCATATGATTTTTAATTTTTATCTTGTCGAATTCAGCCCCTAAAAGAATCTGATTGCATTGTACCGTTTCTATCATTACGGGATCAATTTAGTATTACGTGTATACTGTATATTTTTTATCGTTACATAATTAGTTGCACATTATCAACCAGAATGACTAGTCATCGTGTGCCTTCAATACGTTTTATCATAATGCAATCAGAGGCTAAGTCCAGCAAGGTGGAAATTAAAAAATCTGATTTACAAATTTTCCTTGACTTCTTAATGTCTGTTAAATGGCTTGTGGTAAAATGATTGTCGATTGTTGGTGAAATATGGTCCCAGATTGCACGCGGATAATGCATACTGGATTAACTCT